AGGCTTTATTATTCCCATGAAGCAATAAAATATTATAAATTTAAAGAAAGCAGGTCATTGCCCTATAAGAAATGCTAATTAAAAGACATATACCAACTCTAAAGAAAAAAAGTTAAAAAGAAAACCTAAAGACAAATGGTGCTCTATCTCTGTCTCTCTCTCTTTTTAACAACTTATAATACCACTACTTTGACTTGATTTTCTTAATTCTACATACAACTAAATTTTTAAAAGCTTAATAATTCTCATTACAGTTATCTCTTTACCCACCTATTTTTCTGGAAAGTAAGAAGGTCAGAAATATCTCTGGATGAAAAAGGAATATAAAAGAGAATCACCACAAAACAGTGATCAGGATCCTTTCAGAAATGGAGCAATAGAAACAAAAACTAGAATATTGCTTCCATTCACATTTCCATGGCCATTTTTCAATTCAGCCATTAAATAATTTTTGCTACTTTCTTTCCAGTTCTCATGCCTCTGTTCACAGATTTCCTTCTTACCACATTGGTTCCATTATAAATACTCATTAAGATAGTTGCAATGATAAAAATAACATTGTTTTTTATGAGTCAAGATTTAGGGACAGGAGACTAAGGGAACGTTGAGATGCAGTTAGTTTAGGTGTGATGTACTGATGAACCCTAGGTGAAGACACTTGAAGAAATAGGTAGGAAGAGACAACAGAAATATTTTAGATATTTCTCTGTAAAGAAATGAGATGAAAAGAGAAAAAAAACCTTCAAGCCTTTGCTGCAGCAAGTTCTAGTTGTTACTATGTTTAAAAAGGACTAAAATTGATTATAATACATCCATCTAAAAAGAGGTGAGAAAAAAAGTACATTAATTAGACTTCATGGTGTGTAGTTCTAAATGTGTGGTTTAAGATATGTGAAGAAATATTTTCACTTTCACACACATTAAACGATCTGACATTGTAGCTATTTTTGAAATATCTCATTTCATTATTAACATTAATAGTATTCTTTTACAACTTTCAGAGCAATTTTACATTGATTATTTCATGAGGTTTCTATGCAATAGGAAGCATAGAAATGCTTTTAGTTTGTGTAACACTTAAATTATCTTATTTGATACAATCCTACTATACAGTTCCTTTTACTCATTCTATTCACTATCAAAACCTTTGAACTTGTATTTTTCTGGCCACAAAACTCTGCTTACACACATCTGCCAACTTCTTCACCTGGAGGATTTCTAATTCATCCTTTAAAACTGGCCACTGCAAGGACTGGCCTTCCTCAGCTGGATGTGCATGTTTGTGTATGTGTGTGGAGGTAGGTGGAAGTCTTCAAGAGGGCAGAAACTGGTACTATCACCTTTGTTTGAGGTCGACCAGTAGGCTTTGGCTTCAGTGGCTCCTCCCTTACAATACCCAAGCTTCCTTAATGAGCCAAACCCAGATTCTCATGAGCGAAATCACATCTAAATAACAACAGCTTTTGCTGTGGTACTCAGTTTAGCTGAGGGACCCAATTTTGATAAGATACACCATAGCTATGCAGACATGGGATGGCTAATGAACTGACAATTTTTCAAATTTCAAAAAATTATAATACATTTAACTTTACTTAAATTTAATTATAACAAAGAACCTGTAGTAAGCCTGAAAAAAAATGCTTGAACTTTAACGTATTCAATACAATAGATGTTAATTCCTACAAGTTTTTTCTGAAGTTATGACTTATAGCTGGAGTTCAATTTTGTTTATACTGCCTATTACTTAAATAGCTTAAGTTTCCAAGGTGTAAAGCTGACTCAGATGTATCATAGGAATCAGAAGAGAGTGCTTATGTCTATTAAAGATAAAAAATTTGAAACCTTTTTTTAATTTTTGAAGAACAACTTTTAAAACTTACATTTCCTTTCAGGATGATTTTCCAAAAGAAATTAATTGACAAAGGTTGGTCTATAAACATAATGTTCTATAAAAGAGATAAATTATCTTCAGAGTAACAAAGAAATACATCATGGAGAACTGATTAGAGACTGTATCTATTATAAATCCCAAATGACTATGCATTCATTCAAGCATCTGTCAATCTTCTCTAAATTACTAGACTAGTGGGTTAGTGTTTCCTGTTCAGGATTCTGAGTTATACATGTCCATCAAATGCTCAGATTCAGGTAACATTTTACCTTGTTTTATGTTTGAATAGTGACCTAACACAGGTTTTCTTTTTTTTTCTTCTTAGAATTTTTAATTCCCACTTCTTTTCTTATTTATAGAAAAGGAATATGCCTTCTTCTCTTCATCATTAATCATGATCATCTTAATCATAAAATGTGTGTAATGCTATCAATTTTATTCTTGAGAATATGCTTCATAGAGCTAACTGATGTTTGGTTCTAATTTGTACCAATTTAACTTGTAAATTTACATCTGTACCAATTTCATTTGTAAATCATGAATCTTAATCTAACATTCATTACTTTCTCATTTTTATAAAAAAAATGGTCATTTTCTATTTTGTCTTTTTAATGCATGCATTTGATGTTTTTGGACAGATGCACACACTCATGAAACTTTGTTTTGTCTTAACAGTCATGATAATTGTATTTTCCCTGCTAGTGATTGCTTTGAAGATATATATGAATATAATTCTGACCAATGAGAAATAAGAATAAATATGCTAATGGTTCTGGAATAGTTTTATTCACTGATTAAAAGTAGAGAGAAAGGGCTAGCATAGAGGAAGAAATTTTTTTTTCTTTTTTGTTTCGGCCATCTTGTAATCTGGAGGCAACTTTTCAGAAGGTGGCAGAGTAGAAAGTTGAAAAGAAATTAGATCTTTGGTGAAAAAAAAACTGAACCAATGAATTAATCTACCCTGGAGCCTTGCTAACTCAGAATGCTCTGATTCTTGAAATAATACATTTTCTTTATTGTTTAAACCAGTTGAGTTAGGACTTTCTGCTACTTATAGCTAAAGGCATCCTAACTAATTAGCTGACAGTTCAGAATTTTATTTCATTGGAATCCTAGGTTTGTTCCCCAGCTCTTTGTCTCTCATGTCTTACTTTTTTATTCTTTTTCTGTTTTGCTTAATTTTATTTTCAAATAAGTTTTCTTTTGTCTGAAAGAGTGCTTATGACCTACACTTACTGAGTCATTGCATGCTTGAAAATATAACTGTGGCCGCCTCCCTCGTCCCGCCTGCGCCCTTGTCTCTGCCCGGCCCCTGGCCACAGAAACCCCTGCCCGCAGGCATAGGGCCTTGTGCTTAGCCCCTGGACTAGGCGTCCTGCTCAGCTCCCCAGGGGTGGGCGTGGAACCCAGCCCAACCCCTGGGCCTGGGGAGGGAGGGGACCTCTTCGGGCTTCAGGTGCTGGAGCTCCAGGTCCTCCCGACAGGAGGAAGTGCTGCGGGCATCCAGGCAGCCCCGCCAGTGTCTCTCGGAGGAGCGCAGGGGAAGACAGTCCAGTGCAGCTCACATCACCCTCGTGATGGTCCTGGGAGCCTCCTGGGAATGCCGGGCTGCAGGGAACAGCTGACCAATGACATTTTTTTCTTTCTCTTCAAAAAAAAAATATTTTATTGATTTTTTTACATAGAGGAAGGGAGAGGGATAGAGAATTAGAAGCATCAATGAGAGAGAAACATGGATCAGCTGCCCCCTGCACACCCCCTACTGGGGATGTGCCCGCAGCCAAGGTACATGCCCTTGACCGGATCGAACCTGGGACCCTTCAGTCCGCAGGCCTACTCTCCATCCACTGAACCAAACTGGTCAGGACCATTTTCTTTTTAAAAAGTATATATTTTTATGGATTTCAGAATGAATGGGAGAGGGAGCGAGAGAATCAGGGATCGGCTGCCTCCTGCTCGCCCCCAGGGGACCCAGCCGCAACCCCTGCTCATATCCTGGCCTCCGAGTTCACTGGGCCCTGCTCTGCATTTCCTTCTGGGAGCATCTGCCTCGGCTAAGTTGCAGTGTGGGTCGATGGGGGGGAGATGCTGGGGTGAAGGACCCACGGGGCCTCCAGGGCAGTTCTCTCCCAACCACTTCCTGCTCTACCTCTGCGCTGGGTACAGGTGAGGGGGCACCCGAGAGGAGTGGTCCCCGCAGGCCAACCCCTGGCCCCCTGGGATCCTGGCAGGAGTGCCGGAAGCTGGTCCATCCTTTCTTGACATAGTCACTGCAGGGAAGAAACATCTGCACAGCGTATGTTTCAAAGGGCCTGGCGTATATGGCATACTGTTCTTAATATGTTTGCTCACCTTCTTGGCGCTATGTGTTTTAACCAAGGTCACCTCTCCAAGAAAGGTTGTTTCCCCAGGTAGGGATTTTTCCCTGAAGTTAGGGAAAACCCCTTAACTAAGTGCCAGGCGGGTAGTTAATCACTTTAACTACGAACAATCACATTTAAGCTACATAATCTTTACTCCCTGGAATGGAGATAAGAAACGCCCTAACCTTTGGAATAGAAATTGATAGGATTAAAATCAACTGGTATAAATACAGATGTAATAAGACAAAAAAAACAGAACCTGGCTGGAGATCCTGGCTAGAACCTGGCTAGAGAACCTGACTAGGCTGCTGATCAACTGAACGCTGTCTCCGTGTCATTCCTTCTTCACAGACTCCATCCACACCTTTGGGAACCCCTGGGCCTGCTGGAGCTGGACCCCAACACGTGAGGAATTCTCAAAGGGCTGCCGGCTAGGCTGGTCAAGACCGCGGGACAGAGAGGGGGACAGGCGAGGCTGTGAAGGGCTGCGCAGCGACTCGTACTGTCCCGGATACCGGTGACCCCACGGCTGTCTCCCCAGCCCCGCAGTGACCACGCCTGTCCTCTGCTCTGCGCATGCGTGGCTGAGGCGTTGCCAGGACGACTGGCAGCGACAGCCACGACTGGCAGCGACAGCCAGGCCTGGCTGCAGTGTGCACTCTCTGAGCCTCTGGCGCTCCATCTGCCCCGCGCACAGGGAAATGGTCCCGGGGCAGTCGCAGGGGCCTGGCCAGGCTTCTCAGACTCAGGAGATGGAGGAAAAGGAGCTGTTACAGCTGCAGATCCGCCTCCTGCAGGGTCTGATTGATGACTACAAGAACCTCCATGGCAACACCCCTGCCCCAGGCCCCTCAGCCTCTTGCCGCTGGCAGCCGCCCGTCTACAACAGCAGCAGGGCCTTTGGGGCCCCCTACCCTCGTCCCAGCCGGAAGGGCTTCTCCATGAGCCATGGGCCTGCGTGGCGGAAGAAATACTCCCTCCTGAATCGACCCCCAGGACCCTTGGACCCACCCGGGGACTGTGCTGCGCACCCCACCCTCGGGGCTGGAGGCAGCCAGGACCCCCACCCCCAGCAGTATGTCCTGGAGAGGCAGGTCCAGCTCAGTGCTGACCAGAGCATGGTCATCACGATCAAACCCCCGTCCCAGCCCAGCAGGGCTGGTGCTGCAGGGGTCCCCCGAGGCTCCTCGAAAGAATATGAGGACCCTCCTTGGAGCGACCTCAGGCCTCTGGGAGGGGAGGGCGAGCCCCCTGGCGGGCAGCACCCGCCCTCAAAGCCAGGAAGGGCCCAGGGGGCCGACAGCACAGAGGACTGCCAGCTGGTCTGCCAGAAGGAGGCCGGCAAGCCCCGGGTGGTGAAGTCTGTGAGCAGCTTGAGCGACAGCCTCTCGGAGTCCCGGCGGACGGTCAGTGAGAGCGCCATTTCCGTGGCCCTGACCCTGAAGGTGAGCGCGCACCCTGTGGCCGGCTGTGCTGCACAGCTCCTTGGGGACAGGAGAGCCGATAGAGCAGCTGCGGAGAATGTGTGTACAGCGGAGCGAGACGAGAAGCTGCCGCCCAGAGCCGAGCCAGAGACCAAACCCAAGAAGCCGGCCGTGTGCCCCGCGGGGGCTCTCCGCAGCCAGTACCAGTGGAAGGCCTCCAGCCCCTCGGCCTCCTCCTGCTCCTCCTTCCGCTGGCAGTCGGAGGCTGGCAGCAAGGACCATGCCTTCCAGCTCTCTCCAGTCCCTTCTATGTCCTCCCCGGGGGACAAGCCAGCAGTGGGACCCAGTGGCTTGAAGCCCCTCTTCAGTGAGACCCCAGGGCTCTGGGCTTACAAAGTGAAGAGCCCCACCAAGATCGTCAAGAGGCGGGGGAGTGCCAACCTTCCTGGGGACAAGAAGAGCAGCCCCCCACCAACTGCCACCGCGAAGAGCCAGTTCAGCCTGCGCAGGAGGCAGGCCCTGCGGGGGAGGAGCGGCCCTGTCCAGAAGAAGACCGTCCCCAAGGGCCTGATGCAGGTCACCCGGCACCGGCTGTGCTGCCTGCCTCCTGGCCGCGCCCATCTCCCCATCAAGGAAGCCTCCAACCTCAATGCCTTGCAGGCCCCCGCCACCAGCAAAGTGATCAAGACCCGGTACCCCATCGTCAAGAAGACCCCGGAGTGGCCTTTCAGCGCATCCCCCTTCCCCCTGTCCCTGCCTTCCTGGCGGGCTCGGCGGATCTCCCTGTCCAGGTCCCTGGTGCTAAATCGCCTGCGCCCTGCCCTTGGGAGAGTCCAGCTCGGCTCCCCCCGCTGGCGGGACAGAGGTTACCGCTGTATCGGAGGGGTGCTCTACCAGGTGACAGCCAACAAGCTCGCCAAGACTCCTGGCCGGCCCAGTGCTGAGGGGGCCTGCAGGCCCCTCCTGCGTACAGGCCGGCTGGACCCTCCTGGCAGCTGCAGCCGCTCCCTGGCCAGCCGGGCCGTGCAGCGCAGCCTGGCCGTCGTTTGGCAGGCCCGGCAGGGGCAGGAGTACTGCATGTACTACAACCGCTTCGGCAGGTGCAACCGCGGCGAGCGCTGCCCCTACATCCACGACCCTGAGAACCCTGAGAAGGTGGCCGTGTGCACCAGGTTTCTCCGGGGCACCTGCAAGAAGATGGACAGGACCTGCCCCTTCTCCCACCAGGTCTCCAAGGAGAAGATGCCCGTGTGCTCCTACTTCCTGAAGGGGATCTGCAGCAACAGCGACTGCCCCTACAGCCACGTGTACGTGTCTCGGAAGGCGGAGGTCTGCACCGACTTCCTCAAAGGCTACTGCCCGCTGGGCACCAAGTGCAAGAAGAAGCACACCCTGCTGTGCCCCGACTTCTCCCACAGGGGCTCCTGCCCCCGGGGCGCCCAGTGCCAGCTGCTCCACCGCAACCAGAAGCGCCCGGGCCGCCAGGCATCTGCACCCCCAGCCCCGGAGCCCAGCAGCGCGCCTCCCAGGAGCAGGGCCTCCACTGGCCATGGGCCCAGGAAGCCCTCGGCCTCCCAGCGCCCTGCGAGGCAGACGCCCAGCTCCCCCACCTCGGAGGCTGCTGGCCAGGCCTTCCCTCTCTCCTCAGCTGCAGCCTGTCCCCTGCCATCGAAGACTCCCTTCTCCCCCTCCCCCTCTTCTCCTACCCTCTCCTCCCCCTCCCCCTCCTTAGACCAGGAGGAGCCGATGCTCCAGGAGGAGGCTGCCTCTGCAGGGAAGGGCTCCAGAGGCCTCTCCAAGCTGCCTTCCTTCATCTCCCTGCAGTCCACGCCCAGCCCAGGCGGCCAGCCCAGGGCCCCGACCACCAGGAGCGCCCCCGCCAAGGACTCAGGGAAACCTCTGCACATCAAACCCCGGCTGTGAGGGCCCAGGGTGCCAGCCCACGCCTACCTCATCCCTCAGCGCTGGACAGGAAGGAGGCCACACCACTGCCCCAGGAGGGCTGCCTGCCACGAGATGCCCTGGGGGCCGCAGGGCCATCGCTCCGCCCACCTGGCTCCCAGCCTCCCTGACCAGTGCGAGACCAGGCCTCCCCCTCCCTTGGGCTGGGCCCTGCCTGGCCGGCCCCTCTGCACCCCGCACCTCCCACCCTTGGGTCCTCAGCCTCCCACCCAGCACATGCCCCCAGCTCCCCGCCCTCTGTGGGTGGGGCAGTGGTGGTCACTGCACCCCCAGCCTCACCCAGGACTCCCGCCTGGGCACAGGGCCACCAGCCAGGCTCCCTGGCGGGCATTTCTGTTCAGCAATAAAGGTTGTCCCATGTCTAAAATAAATAAATTAATTAATTAAAAATAAAATAAAATATAACTGTGTAAGATATATTTAACTCCATGATTGATTGATATTTTACCTAGTATTTTGTTTCAAAGTAATTTTCCTGAAAAAAACAACTATAAAGGGAAAGCATCAATGACCTCTAGCTTCCAATATTGTTGATAAGAAGCCTCATTCAAATTTAGTCTTCATTCACTTATAAGTAAGCTGTGATTTTCTCTGGAAATTTTTAAGTTTTTTTTTCTCTTGAATTTTATAGTTTTGAAATTTCACAAGAGATTTCTTGTGTTCTCTTTTATTTTGTTCCTTTGTACCCAGGGATCTCTTTTAGTATAATAATAGAGATACTCAGCTCAGAGAAATTGTCTACTATCCCTTTAATTATTTTCTCACTTCCACTGGAAGTCTGATTAGATAATGAACCTATCTTTCACATCTTTTAACATTCTAATTTATTATTATTTTTTATTTCTTATGTCCTTATTTTCTTACACTAACTTCCTCAACTCTGTCAAATTAACAGTCATAATTTTTATAATACTAGTAAAAAACAAATGTAGTGCTTACTTATGTTCTGGGTCCATAAATTTTCACAACAACCCCAAATGGTAGATACTAATATAACCTCATTTTACAGATAAGTAAAGTGAGGTAAAAAGAGCATAAGTAATTGTCCAATGTGGCACAGTTACTAACTTACAAAATCTGGATTAAATCCAGAGATTGTGACTCCTGAATTTGTATTTTAAGCAATTATTCTATCCTGGTTCACTATTTGCCACCAAAGAGATTGTACAGAAAGTGTAAAATCATCGCTCAAGAATTCAAGATGATAAGTGAATGGACACAGTTTCTAGTTGTCTCATCTCTTCCTCGTGGACGCTTGCCTGAAGTTTAGTGGTCAGTGCAGCTCATGCAGAATAAGACTTCAAGGTCAGAGACAAGTTAGAATTGTAACTTCTGCCTTTCATACTGTTAAGCTGAGGATGAACCATCCCAGCTATCCAAACTTTCTCTACAAATATTTGAAACATGTTGTTGTGTCCCTGTTGCATTCTTCTAAATTCTTTTTCTGACTATCACCAAGCTAGAGCATTGTTGAGCACATGTTTACTTTATCGCTTTCTTCCATGTTTCTTTTATTTTTCTTTTTAAATCCTAACTAAGACTTTCTAGGAAGCAGTCTTTTTCCTACATATATATTTTGGGTTGTATTCTATAACAACCCCTACATATGTTTCCTAGATTCCAGATATTCTCCAAACTGTCCTGGACATTCAGGCAGTCTTCTTTTTTGCTAGAGCTGTTATAGATTTACTAGAGGCCCGTTACACAAAGAGATTTGTGCAATAGGCCTTCTTTCCCCTGGTTGCCGGCACCAGTTTTCCTCCAGCACCCAGGACCCAGGCCTTCGTTCTGGCCACAGCAGAGAAGCCAAGCCTGGAGGCTTCTCCAGTCCGACCACAAGAAGGCAAGCCTCTTCAGTCTTCAGTCGTCTTCAGTCTTTCGCTCAGTGCCTGCATATGCAAATTAACTGCCATCTTTGTTGGGTAATTTGCATACTCATCCTGATTGGCTGGTGGGCATAGCAGAGTGACAGCAATTTGCATGTTTCTCTTTTATTAGTGTAGATTAATGCTTTGCATAATAGTATGTTCATTTTGGTGGGAGAGGTAGATGTGCTCAGACACTCATTTCCAACCAAATGCATGACAGTCTGAATTTCTTCAGTTCTGAAATATTCACCCAAATACTCATCTATTCTCTCCAAAACACATTTGGCCCCACAGAATATGGAATAAGAAAAATCTTTTCAAAAAGATCACTTCTGACATTATTTCTAGGAAATAAGTAGGCAAATTTACAAAGTGTGCACAGAACTAATGCATAAGCAACTGGAGTAAATACTCCAGTTGAGTGTATCTACCTCTACTGAATACACCATCCAACTTTCAAAGTACCCTTTGGAATATAGAACTTTACCAGTTCTACTTTAAAAAAATATATTATTTTTATTGATCTCAGAGAGGAAGGGAGAAGGAGAGAGAGACAGAAACAACGATGAGAGACAATCATTGATCGGCGGCCTCCTGCACACCCCACCCCTACTGGGGATCAAGCCCATAACCCAGGCATGTGCCCCTGACCGGAATTGAACCCAGGACCCCTCAGTCCACAGGCCGATGCTCCATCCACTAAGCCAAACCAGCCAGGGCCAATTCTACTTTTGAGTGATGGAAATGAATACCTAGTGCCTGGTTTAAAACAGGATTGTCTGTGGCAGCAAACATATAGTTAAAAAAATTTTTAAAAAAATGTGGTCATTTTGCAAATGGCATAATGAGTTTTTGTTAGTTCAGGCAGCACTTGTAGAACTATGATTCATCTGTCCCTTATAGAGGAAAAAAAGATCAAATTCAGTAAATGAAAAATATGAACCATCAACAAAAAAGGAAACAATATGTGTCATTAAAATCAACACCAGCTTTGACTTATTGTTACTGGAACTTTCACCACAACCTGTGGCACACTTGTAATAAATTCCATTCTCCCCAGCATGTCAAATTCTTCAATTTAGTCTTGGTATTTAATCTACTGGAAAAACCATTTATTTATATTTCTATGTATGCCCCTGAAGCCATAGACATTATCTTTTAAGTAACTTTCCTTTTGAATCCAAATTGAAAATATAGGTAAGCATATTTGAAATGTTCCTAAAAGTTGCATTGGGACTTATAATAAAACCTGATGGAGGAAGATCTTGGATGATAGGCGGGGATGGTAGCAGGTCATGTAGATTCATGTTGCCCGCCTCAAGGAGGCTTAGGAAATTTTTCAGGAGCAGTCCTACTCAATGTTGACTGTACATATTGGCCAAAGGGAGCTGTCACCTGAATTAATAGGTGGAATTTCTTACAACAGGAGCTCATTACTGTTGTTGCCTGTTGCCAGAATGCAGTTACTTTGAAACTCAGAGCTCATTGCTTGCCACATCCCAAATTATAAGTGATGCCATTTGTTATTTCTTTTTAATTTTTCCTTGCGTGGACCACAGGTAATTTAGCCAACTGGAAATGCGAATGAATTGTCTGCTCCATTAGTGGTACCCATTGGTCCAGTGCCAATGACATTTAGGTTCAGGCACAGTTGTCTCATTTGTCCTCTGATCTTGCCATTTCTAGTGCTCAAAAGAGGCTTCAATATGAATAAAAACAGTGAGGCAAAACATAAAGCGACTGCTGCAATAATCTTAATAACAAAAAAATAATAACACTGTCACTTTACACTTCATCTGTTCGCGTTGCTCTTTAAAATATGAACTTTTATGGCTTCATTTCCCCAAATGTCATTCTTTAATCTTTTTTTTATTTCTCATGCTAAAATAATATAATACCCAACATGGCAATCTTCATCACAGGATTTTTTTTTTATGATAGTTTGCTGCCTTGTGAAAACCATTTCTTTAGTTCCTTTTGTCAGACTAAGGGTGAGGCATTTTCTCTACAGCAAATAGATGGGTAATTTAAAAATCTATAGGTAGAGTTAATTTCTATAACTATGGACCCACATTGAGACTGAAGTTTCCTTAATAACCTATGATGATGTTTTTGTTCTGTATGCATATTTCCGTTACCCGTTTTACCTGTTGTTACCCTTGCTTAGAATTACATTTTATTTTACCTAAGTCTATATGATATTTTGTGAATATGTTCACACCTATTCATTATTTTCCCCATAAATATTAATACTTCATATCTGTACCAAAAAAAACCCCTCAGGAATTGGAGATAATTATTTTTTCACTAATGGATTGCCTGCTTTTATTGGTACAAATTATTTGGATAACCAAACAATTAGGACTTGCTCACCTTAATTTTAGTACCATAAATAGAATATCTGCCAGAATTCTGTGGCAGACACTTTTATGTTAAAAAATAAATACTGAGCAAAATGACTACAGAAAACACAAATGTAATAATGTTAATAATAGCATTAGATACATTGCTTCTTGGGCAACACAGGTGCTGGTTTTTATAGCAACATTAGATTAATCATTTTCCCCTTCCACTGGAACAGAAGGCATAGAGGGAGTATGGAATATATTTTTTCCCGTAACAAGCCAATCTAAGAAACACTAATCTAAGGAAGTGAAATTATATGATTTCAGAAACCTGTGCAACTTGGAAGTAAAAGAATGTTTAAAGTTGCCATACATGTTCTTTTCTCCATCTCATCTGGGAACCAGAGACCATTAGTAATAATTCATAGCTGGCCCATAGTTACATGGTAATAAATATGTTTATTTGTTTATTGGTTGGTTGTTGAAGGCTTGTTCCAGAAAGAATTTAAGAAAACTTAAAAATACATAAAAGATGCACTTAGTATAAATTAGGAACAAAAGAACAAAGAAAAAGAAAAATAGAAACATAAAAGAGTCAGGTATGGTCAGGTATGAGGTTAAAAATTCATGGCAAAATCAACCACACAATTAATAACAGTGAATATACGACAATTTCTGAGGACCCTTGGAAAAATAAACCTATTCCTTTTCAATATTGAAAGTATGATGTCAAGAAAGATGGTTTATTTGTGACTTGAAAATCTTGGATTCAAGTTTCAGTTTAACTACCCATGGAAATAGTTTTAAAGAAATC